CGGGGGGTGGCGCATGTGGGTCACTTGCGGGTATGGGTGGAGGGGAGGTTGGAGAGTCTTGGTTCAACGAAGAGTACGGCTGGATGAGATCGGGAGCGATGGGACGAGTTGGAGCATGGTAGGACGGGATTGAACTGCCTGCGGCGGCTGAGTATGTCGATGGCAGTCCAGGGAGACGCGTGTATACACGAGGGAGGACGAAAGAGGGGGAGGGGAGAGGGGGGGGGGGGCTCACGAGGCTGCGGCCGGGTTGGCGTTGCAGTACTCGACAAACTCGTCGATGAGGACGGGCCAGGCGCCATCGTCGTCGTAGTCGGTCACATCCGTGCCGTAGGTGTTGACAAAGTCGAGGAAGAGCAGCCAGGTGTCCTTGGTGATGTCGCGAGTGTGGTTCTCGAGGAACTTGACCCAGCGGTCGACGATGGGGAACTTGTCAGCGAGGAGCAGCGACCACATGAAGCGGGCCGACTCTGCCGAGAGCGAGCGGCGGCCGGGCTCCTTGGAAAAGTCGAAGACCCAGGCGTAAAAGTCGGCAAAGATGGTGGCGTCCGAGTCGACCTGAGCCACAAAGGTGGGCACGGCAGCCTTCATGGCGTCTATGCTGTCTGCGCCGAGCTCGGCCCAGCGCATAAACTCCTCGCGGGTGAACTCACACATGACGGCAGCCTGGAGCTTGTGGCACACAATGAGCAGCGGGCGCTTCATTGGATCGAGCTCCATGTCGTTGCACCACGCCAGGACGCCCTCAAGGAGCATCGAGTCGCAGCCATCATCCTTGTACTGCTCAAACAGGGCTTCCACAACCGCCCGATCACCCGAGGCCACACCAGCTCCAGCCTGACCACCAGCCGAAAAGAATGCATTCACCGCAGTCTGCACATCCCATCCATGCGCCTCGAGGGCAGTCATGGCATCACGCGCCGTCACAGCTGCTCCCACCACGTCGCGGTACTCGGCGACCTTTGCCTTCTCAGCCTTGCGGAGCCTGTTCATTACTTTGAGAGAGAGAGAGAGAAAGAGGGGGAAGGAGGGGGAGGGGAGGGGGTAGCCCTTCGGGGGTTGTCAAAGAGGAAGACAGGTGGGTGTGGGCAGGGAGTGGAGAGGGAGGGTGAGCCTGAGACGAGGCCGAGGAGGCGGAGGAGGAGGAGGAAGGGTGGTGGCGGTGCCGTCAGTGGAGGTCGCAAAGGAGTCGCAACGATTAAAGGACGTTCAAATAATCGTTGGTGTGAGCTGGTGGGTAGAGTTGCTTGGCAATGATTATTGGACGGCAACTTTATCGCAGTGGTTGAGATGATCCCATCGAGATTTATACATGCTCCCAGGCCCAGAGATGCCTCTCAAGACAACCTGCATGTAAGCACAAGACCCATGGTCGACGACAAAGGCCCTGATGTGATCCGATGATCAAGTACAACGGAAATGACTGTGCGGCCTGGTGTCTCTGTCCCGGCCTCCGTCAGCCGCCAGCCGCCAGCCGCCAGTCACCAGCCGCCCCAGCCGCCAGCCACCAGGCACGGCCACGGCCCGTCGCTGTTGCTCGCTAGCACACGTCTCTTACTCTCACCCGTCCAGGATGACGGACACTACGAAGCAGATGCCGTTGTCCGAGATTGCAGCGGTACGTACCCAGTATATATATATGCATGTATTCCAGCTCTCTCCCTTGCCCATGCCAACTGCGGCAAGACGCTACCGGGGTGGGTGGCGAGAGCCTGCGGCTTGGCCCCACCGAACGAATGGGCGAACGAAACGAACGAACGAACGAACGAACGAATGATCGTAGAGCGAACATTTATTCGTTCAATTAATTGTTGAGGCTGTTGGTTCCGTCCATCGCCGCCCACCGGCTCGGCCCCGTCCTCCCCCCCGTGCCTGGGTCATGCTACTCGTACCTCTAGAGGTCGATACAGGACAGAGAGAGTGCGGGAAAGTGAATGCAGGTAGAGTTGTAGTAGGTACCACCCATTGTGGCATGTTTATTTTGCTCTATCCTCATAGCTGGCCAGTGGATGGCCTTGGAGAGTATGCGGAACGACCGGTCGTGCTCATGTCGCCTCGCCCAAAGCCTTTGTCTCTGTCGAGCAAAAAAACATGGGGGGGGCCATGGTATGGTGGACAAGGCCGTAGGCAGACAGGCAGGCAGGCAGGCAGGCAGGCTGGCCCTACCCCCCCCCCCCCCCCCCTTCCCCTCCCATATCCCCACTGTGTGCTGATGAAGGCGGTGTGGACTCACTCGGGGCTGGCTGGTGACTATGTGGCTTGGTGGCGGGACTGGTTTTATCTCGGAACTGGGTGGGACGTGGGGGGCATGATGCGGAGCTCTGTCCGATTGGACGCCAGTGAACGGAGTCGGAGAAGAGGGAACAAGATCAGAGATCGGCTGAGGCTACTCGAGTCAACCAAAAGACGCAGGAAATTGCGCGGCTGGAGGAGGAGAACCGGCGGCTGCGGTCGTCGCTGACGGCTTTGCTGCAAAGCGATCGGCAGATGTCATACTCGGTGCTTGCATCCACATGGTCTCGCTCTCAAGACAATGTGCCCTCACTCTGGACGTCATCTCGGCTGCCCTGGATGTGCCGGCAAACAAGTTGGGGAACATGTACCGCAAGTTGCGGAAGATTGCTCCCGTCGATGCCGTCGCTGCAAAGGGGACGGTCAACCCGGCAGAGTTTGTGCAGCAGGGCGTGGCCCGGATGGACGGCATCGATCGTCGTGACCGGAACAAGGCCGCAAGCCTGGCAAAGTCGCTCATTGCGGTTGCAGACGACTACGGGCTCGTCACTGGCCGTGCTCCTGCACCCATCGCCGCCGCTGCCCTCTCTCTCGCCGCCCGAGCTTGCAAGCTCGACGCCACCATCGACGTCACCTACTTTGCCGACCTGTACGGCTGCGGACGGAACACCATCTCCCACCGCGTCGATGAACTGCGCAAGGTCCTACTCCGCGTCGCAAAGTCGCTGCCTTGGGGCGACGACATTACCGTCTACTCGCTCGACGCCCACCTCACCTTTCTCCTCCGCCACATGCAGGTCCTCCGCAAGACCGCGCTCGTCAACGAGCGCGCGCTCGAGCTCGAGCAGGGTCTCATACATTCTTCCGCTATCCCGTCTGCCGCCACCCCCGCTGCCGCTACCCCGGCTACCGCGTCGGCCGCCATCGCCGAGCCCGAGTCCAAGGCAGGACCAAGCACCTGCCCGCCAACCCCGGCCGCCGAGCCGGCAGCTCCATCCACGCCCTTTCTGCTCACACCCTCGGGTGCTACGAGCGGATCAGTGACGCCGGCGGCCCTTGCCAGCTCATCGACACCACACGCTGCGCTCCCGGCGTCATTTCGCCGCAACATGGCCAACCGCGAGCGGCGCAAGGCCAAGCTCTCCCTCGTCCACGGCCGGGTCCAAGCCGCCCGCTCTCAGCCGCAGGCCAAGGCCCCGCGCCGTGCGCTTGCAGACGACGCCACATCGTCGCGGACGGCGCTCGGGCGGGGGGAGGGCTTCGACCTTGGTCTCGGCATGCCGACGCCTGCCGAGGTCGGCTTTACCGATGCTGAGCTCGCCGCCGACCGCGAGCTTGTCCTCATCCTCTGTGCGTACCTCCGCGGCGTCTCGCGGCTCGACATCGAAGCTGGCTACTTTAACGCGGTTGGTGCCGGTGACTCTGATAACGTCGCCGAGCAGCTTGCCGCACTCGACGCCGACGCCGCCGCACACGACGACGAGCTCGACGTCTACATCCTCGACCCGTCCGACAAGCTCGTCGCCCTCAAGGCCAAGCTTGGCGGCTGGGAGGTGCCCAAGGCCAAGGGCACGCGCCGCAAGGCGTCCAAGGCGGCGCAAGAGGCCGCCGGCCCACCGGAAAGTCCCTCGTCGGGTCGCAAACGCAAGCGCAGTCAGGACGGCGTCATGAGTCCGGCGACCTGATCGGCGAGCTCGGCCCAGCCGTCGCGTTCGGCGGCCTTGGCCATCAGCGCAGCACGGTATGCTGCCTTGAGCGCTGCCACCCTCGCCTCGCTTTTGTGCGCCCGTGTCGCGTGTGCCACTGCATCGCGCAGCCAAAGCCGCACAATGTTGAGTGCCACGCTAGTCTTGGCCGCCACCTCGGGTGCCGTTGGTCCGCTTCCGGCGAGTATGCCGGCAGCGAGGGTGGTGAGCTCGAGCGCGACCCGTGCCGGAGGCCGCCACTTGTGGGTCTTGGTAAACAGTTCTAACTCCATGGTGAGGACCGAGAGCTTGGAGAGCAAGTCGCCGGCGGCGGTGGCGGCCGCCAGTGCCTTGCCAAAGATCACCTTGGTCACCTTGGTCTTGGCCTGTACGTTGCTGATGCCGGACCAGTCGCCGAGCGCAAGCGCGTACAGCCGCGCCATCTGGACCTTGACTAGGACAACTCGCGATGTGTTGGCCGCCATCTCGTATGCACGCTCTGCACACTCGAGCTGCTTGCGGATGGTAGCCAAGGCCTGGTCGCCGCTGCCGGCTGCCGGCCCACCGCCCTCCATGAGCTCCATGGCGATCGAGAGGTACGTGCCGCCGAGGCCCGAGTTGATGTCGGAGAACAAAGCGGTATGGTCGAGGTGCGCAGCGGCGAGCATCTTGGACGCGCGCAGATACGCGTTCACCGCTGACGTATACAGGCTCTCCGAGTTGGCCTGGCTTGCAGCTTCGTGCATAGCCCGCAGTCGATGCGCCCGGGCCTCATTGGCCAGCACGCCCGCAAGATTGAGCGTCGCTCGCGGTGAGTCCGGGAGGTCGGCAAAGGCCTTCTCAGCCGCACGCAGCTCGCGCAGTCCCTTGGTGAACCGGTGTGTCTCGAGGTAGCACGAGCCAATGAGGTTGTGCAGCGCGCCCGTGCGGGCTTGAATCTCGCACCGCGCGCTGTCGAGTGCGTCATGCGCGACGACGAGCGCGAGGCCGAGCTTACAGTACGAGAGCATGGTGGCGTAGACCTCGATTTGCTCGGCGCCCGAAGCCGCAAACGACGCCAGTGCCGCAAGAGCCGGCGCGAGTGTGCTGCGGACAGCCGCGTGCGACCGGGCCACAGCCTTGGCATTCAGCACCTCAAGCTTGAGCCGTGCCGCGAGCCCGACGTGTTCCAGGTCGTACTCGTCGTCACAGTCGATGCCGAGCGCGTCGGTGTTGAATTCAAACGTCTCATCGGCCATGGCGTCGGCGTCTGAGTGCTTTGCTGATGGCGTGAGCATGAGCGGCGCCGACTGTGGACCGAGGATGCCGTCGACGACGCTGCCGGGCTCGCGGCAGAGCTCGACAGCGCGATCTGAGCCATCGCGGGCAATGACAACCACATCGCCGAGCGCAAGTGTCGCTAGCGCGCGGGCGACAGTCGCGGCCAGGATCTCGCTCTCTCCGCTGCTCTCACTGCCACCTTCGTTGACAAGGTGAGCAGCAACGAGGGCGTGGGTGATGTGCCGGAGCGCCGACGCTGGTGCGCGGTGCTTGATGCTCGAGTACGCGAGGTAGAGGTGGATTTCGGCGAGGAGGCCGAGAACCTCGGCCCAGAGCTTGGGTACATCAACGAGCGGGCCGACCGGGCCGGGCGGTGTGTCGTGGCGCATGCGGACCAGAGTTCGGAGCGCATCGGTGAGCAGGGTGCCAGCACGGACGTAGGCCTCGACCTCACCGGCATCGTTGTACATGTCGCGGGCAACGATGGGCGCGACAAGACCGTCGCTGCTCTGGCTACCGCCCAACTCTGCCTCGGTTGGATCAGCGTTGACGAGAGTCTTGGAGAGCATGCGGGTGAGCTGTGAGCCCGGACGGTACTGCGCGATGTAGGTCTCGGCGAGCTTGCGTGTGACAGCGACGTGCACGCCTGGCCGCAGCCGCGGGTTGAGCAAGTCAAGCGCGCGCTCAAAGAGCGACCGCGCACGTTCGACGTGCGGGCGACTCTTGCCAGGCTCCATAAGCTTAAAGCCGAGCCTGTAGCAGAGCATAGCGACGGCAAAGGCAAACGGCGGTGGGTCGGATGAGGCTGCCGGCTGTGTGGGCTGCGGCTGCGGCTGCGGTGATGCTGCGGGAGCCATGCCGTCTGCTGCCGACCCCGTTGCCGATGTTGATGCCGCGGGCGAGGGTGAGGGTGGCGAGAGGTCGTACAGCCGAAGCATGGACTCACCAGTGCCTTTGTACAGCCAGTAGGTACCACCGTCTCGAGTGGCATGATCCTTGAGGAACTGCACGACCGAGGCTGCCGTCTGCTCGACCACAGCCGGCTGGAAGGCCGGGGTTCGCGACTTCCGGCCCGCCTCGCAAGGCTTGCGCTTCGGTGACTCGGCGGACGACGATGAGGCCGACGACGATGAAGCCGACGACGACGAAGCCGGGGCGGTGAGGAACGGAATGTCCTCGGTACGGACGATTTGGTAGCCCTGGACAAAGCCGCCCTTGTGGTAGCAGATGCAGAGCTCGGGCACATCTGCCAGCACGTTGTCCAGCCAGTAGTCGAGCGAGGTTGAGCGGGTGATCTCCTCCTCGATCGAGTGCAGCTTGAGTGAGATGGCAGGGTGGCCGACCGAGGAGAAGACAAGCAGATCCGAGCCGAGAATCAGGTTCGAGTCGCGGAGCTTAAAGGCAAAGGTGCGAGTAAACTTGGACGAGGCCGGGAGCGGGATGGCTGGGTCCTCCATGACCGCCTGGACCGCGGCCTCTGGGCCGCCAGGCTGAGACTGCGGCGGCGGCTGTGGCTGAGCGCCCCCGTTTGCCTGGCCCATCTGATGGTACATGAACTTGGAGTAGAGAATGCGGTCATCGGGTGAGGCCTTCTTGGGTGGCATCGGGTCCGATGGTCCGTCGACAGGGACCTGGAACGGGTCGATGGCTCCGTCGAGCACCAGGGTCGACCCGATGCGGTGGACTGCCATGGAGACTGGCGCCCGCGAGTAAGTCATCTTGAAGATCTTCTTCATGTTGGCGGTCGGGGCAAGGATGTCGGCGTCTTCACCATAGGCTGCCAGCTCGGACGCCGCCAGCTCGCCACTGGCCCGCAGCGCGCCCGACGGCGCCAGCGCAGCTGGCGATGGCGCTGCCAGCCAGTTGAGCGGCGCCTTGTTCAGGTTGGTCTCTGTGGCCAGCTCGGAAAAATACGGCAGAGCCAGCGGGTGGCTCGGTGGGAGCGGACTGGGTGTCTCGCCAGCCAGCGACGCCGATGCCGCCTCGCGGATCTGATCCGGGGTGATGAGTGCATCGGCAACCGGAAGCGAGAGCGAGGCCACCAGAGGAACCTTTCTGTTCTGCCTCTGCGAAGCCATGCCGAGCTACCTGTGTCTGCTTCTTGTCAGCGAGGGATTATCAAGCAAGTGAGCCGTGTGAAGCAGCGAGGCTGGAGCAGAGAGGCGACACGATGCGATGCGATGCGACGCGAGCAGGAGGTGCAATCGCGAGCAGGAGGTGCAATCAGTCGAACCTGCTCCGGCGAGGCAAGGAGATAGGAGGGAGAGGGCGATGCGATGCGATGTGAGACGAGACGAGGTAAGGCGAGGTGAGGCGAGGCGAGACGAGGCGAGATGAGGTGGCGGCGAAGCTCTCGACCGGACAGGGAGGAGGACAGACCAAGGCGGAGTGAGTTCAGACAGATCACCAGCCAGAAGCAAAGCAAGAGTACTCCCCCCTGCTATGTGTGCGACGGGTATGCAGATGCGGGTCCGGCAAGAGACAAGTGTGGCTCTCTGCCCCCTCCCCCCCTCCCCCCCCCCCTTCTCCTGCTCGTCCCCTGCCTCTCGCCCGTGTCGCGCAGTGAAGAACCTTCCGGGACATTCACGAAACATGGCTGCCGTGGCCGAAGCTGCCATGCCAGACTCGCTTGAGCTGGCAGACAGAGCCGCGCAGAACACATGCCCATGCCGCATCACTACACACCAGTGGCTGGGCTCTGACCTCATGCCACGCCGATGCCGATATCTGTCTGCCCATGCCGCATCGCCACGCCGATGCCGGGATCTGAGTCTTGATGTTGAGCCCTATGTGCGGTGCACCGGGCGGACCAAGCTTGTGGGCGGTATTGATGGTGCGGCGTAGGTGAGTTGGCGGAAGGTGGCGATAGCCGAATGCGACACGATGGAAGGGGAGGTGGCGGAGGGGCAGGGGCAGGGGCCGGGGCAGGGGCAGGGGCAGGGGCAGGGGCAGGGGCAGGGGAACACGCGGACACACGGACACACGACGACACACGTCTCAGAGGAGAGGAGCAGGTGACCTATCCAGAGAGCGCCACATCCGTGTAGCAACTTGCTGAGTGTGTGCATACTATGGTATGTGGGCGGGGAGAGAAGGGAGGGAGGGGGGAGGAGGGGGGGGGGGGAGGGAAGGGGGGAGGAGCGGTGACTCACGGGGTGCAACGGTGGGTATGGTTATGGTTATGGGTATGGGTATGGGTGGTGGTGATGGTGTGGTGAATCTGTCTGTCTGTCTGTCTCTCTCTTTGTTGGCTGGTCTTTGTCGTTGTCGTCATGGTCATGGTGGTGTTCCGGACTACTCATTGGCACTGGTCGGCGTGGTTGTTGAACGTGCGGGGATGGATGGTCATGGCTGATCAACGCTGGTCATGGCTGATCATGGCTAATCAACGCTCGTCATGGCTGCTGCTGCACGCGGACTGATCGCCATCTCATGCCCTATATCGCACCATCTTCAGGACTTTTTCGGATTCGGGCGACGTGCCCAACCGACGACCTTTGCGGAGCGGTACCAGGTCTACCCGGTCTCGTTCCTCGGCCGGCCTGACCTTGAGACTGGAAACAAGATTGTGCTGCCGCCGTCGGCACTGGACAAGCTTGCGCGGCTGTCGATTGTGTACCCCATGCTGTTTGAGTTGCGCAACGAGAACACTGGCTCCATCTCTCACTGCGGTGTGCTGGAGTTTGTGGCCGAAGAGGGGAGGGCGTACATTCCTTACTGGCTGATGCAGAGCCTGCTGCTGCAGGAGGGCGGCATCCTCACCGTCCGCAACGTCTCGCTTCCCCTCGGCACCTTTGTCAAGCTCAAGCCGCAGTCGGTTGCCTTCCTTGACATCTCCAACCCCAAGGCTGTGCTGGAGAACTCGCTTCGCTCGTTTGCCACCCTCACCAAGGACGACGTCATCAAGATCCACTACAACGACCGTGATTACTACCTTGCCGTTGAGGAGGTGCGCCCGGACACCCACAATGGCGGCATTTGCGTCATCGAGACCGACATGGAAGTCGACTTCTCGCCGCCTGTCGGCTACGTCGATCCGTCCACATTGGCTTCCAAGGTCTCCTCGTCGACTGCCGCGGCCTCTTCCTCATCCGCTGCTGCCCCGGTCACCGCGGACGGCCTGGTGCTTGGCGCCGGCGCTGACGATGCCAAGCCTAAGCAGAGCCCGAACTCGGACTCGGACTCGTACTCGGACTCGGACTCGGACTCGGACTCGGACGCTGCCGCCAAGGCCTCGTACTGGGCTAAGCTTGGTTCGGGGCACTCGCTCCGGAGCAGTGGTTCCACAGCTCGGGCCTCGGCGAGTGCGAGCTCCGCCAACGCTGCTGCCGATCCGGCTGCTGCTCTCCCGCTCCGTGACCGCAAGGTTGCCTCGTCCGTCCCGGAGAACTTTACTGCATTTGGAGGCAAGGGTCGCTCGCTTCGCGACTGAGCCCAATGCAGGCCCTTGACTCTAAGCGCCAGAGGGGGCGAAGCAGGTGCAGGCACGTCGTGCGCTTGCGCTTCTACTGCTTGTCCTTCTTCTTCTTCTTCTTCTTGTCCTTGGACTTAGACTTGACTTGTCCTTGGACTTGGACTTGGCTTTGCTCTTGGCGCGCTCAGCGCGCTTGCGCTTCTTCTCGGCGCGCTTCTCACGGCGCCGCTTAGCCTCCTCAGACTCAGCCGGCTCGTCGTCAGACGACGACGAGTCGTCGTCGGCCGCAGGGCGCTGCGAGGCCTGCGAGGCGTTGTAGCGGGCATAGCGCGCGAGCGTGCGCTTGGCAGCGCAGTCGGGAAAGTTGGAGAGGTCATAGTAGTGCGGAGCAAACTCCATGAGCCACTCACCGTCGATCTCGGTGACGGTCCGGATGTAGTGTGCGGTGGTGAGGACAAACTCGTTAAAGAGCAGCCACTCCGGCTTGCGGCGGAGGACCGACGACGGGTGGACAATGACCTCCTCGTTGTCCTTGATCGTCAGGTACCGGCCGGAGCGCTCGTGGTGGGCGACCTGCATAAAGTAGCCGGCGACCATGGCGCGGCGGATGGAGACATCGTAGTCGGGCGACGACATGTCGGGCGAGACGAGATCGAGGTTGAAACGCTGCATGATGCGCACCAGCTGCGCGCGGACCGAGTCGGCCGACGCCAGCGAGCGCGCGTTGAGGAAGTGGTCAAAGGCCCAGTCGCGCGACCGCCCGGACTGGTTCCACGCGTGGTACACGTTGAGCAGCGTGAGGTGGTCACCATCCGAGTGCGAAAAGTGCGCGTGCGCCGCGTCGGCCTCGTGCTGGTTCGCCCGCGGCCGCGTAAAGATACGCGGGACAGAGAGGCATGCCACAATGGAGAGAATCTCGTTCGAGCACCCGAGCTCCGACGACGCAATGAGCATCTTGCCCATCTGCGGGTCCAGCGGGAGCTCGGACATGATCTTACCCAGCTCGGTCAGGTTGCCGTCGTCATCGAGCGCCCCGAGGTAGTTGAGCGTGTCCAGCGCACGCATCATCGTCTCGGGCGCCGGTGGATCCACAAAGTCAAAGTGGACCAGGTCATCGACACCGATGCGCTTCAGCTGCAAGACAACAGACGCCAAGTTCGACCGCAGAATCTCCGGATACGTGCTCTCCTGGAGGTCATTGTGGAAGGCTGACTCGGGGTAGAGCCGGAACGCCTTGCCCGGCTTGGTACGACCGGCACGACCGGCACGCTGCTGCGCCGACGCCTTGGAAATCGGTGTGACAAGGAGCGACTCGACTCGTGCCCGCGGGTTGTACGTCTTCATCTTGGCAAAGCCCGGATCAATGACAAACACCACGCCATCGATGGTGAGCGAGGTCTCGGCAATGTTCGTCGAGACAATGATCTTGCGGCCCGGCGGGCCGTCCGGCGTCCGCGCCTTGGGCGCCTCATTGAAGATCCGCTGCTGATGCTGCGGCGGAAGCGACGAGTAGAGCGGAAGGACCAGCGCAGGGCCAACCTCGGTGCCCATATTGGAGATTTCGCCGCGGATCCGCGCCACAGCATCCTCAATCTCCTGCTCACCCGTGAGGAAGAGGAGCACATCGCCCTCTGGCTCCACAGCGTGAATCTGCAGTGCAGTCCGGATCGACGTCTCCAGGTAGTCTTCCACAGGCGTCGGCGTAAAGTAGACCTCCACAGGATGCATCCGTCCCGGAACAGTGATCAGCGGCGCGCCGTCAAAGTACTCCTGGAACTTGGCCGCGTCGAGCGTGGCAGACATGACCACCAGCTTGAGGTCGTCACGCGAGGCGCAGACCGCCTTGAGCAGGCCGAGCAGAATGTCCGTCGCCAGCGTCCGCTCATGCGCCTCATCCAACACAATGCACTTGTATGACTCGAGCAGCGGGTCCGTCATCGCCTCCCGCAGCAGCATACCGTCCGTGAGGTACTTGACCACAGTCTTGTCCGTCGTCCGATGGTCGAAACGAATCGAGTAACCCACCGTCTCACCGAGCTGGACGTCCATCTCGTCGGCCACGCGCGACGAGACTGACATGGCGGCCACTCGCCGCGGCTGAGTGCATCCCACCATGCCCTGGTCGCCCTTCTCCATCAGCGCGTTGGCAATCATCTGCGGCAACTGCGTCGTCTTTCCTGATCCGGTCTCTCCCACCAGCACCGTCACCTTGTTGTCATCAATCGTCTGCAAGATCTCATCCCGCATCGCCCACACTGGCAGCGTCTTGCGCGTCTCCAGAATGTTGTAGTACCGCGACGAAAACGGCTTGCCCGTGTACGGATTGACCTACTCGGAGTCTCCCCCACACACACACGCACACGCACACACACACCATGACGATCCACAAATCCCAGCAACAACGCCACCAGTCACAGCCACCAACCAGCCACAGCCACCAGCCACAGCCACCAGCCACAGCCACCAGTCAAACAGCCACCACCACCACCAGGCGTCCATACCCGCACACATCCATACCCAGTGAGTCCCTGCCAATCCCTCACTCCCCCCCCCCCTCCCCGCCCCGCCCCCGCCCACACATGGGGATTACGTACATCCATCTTCTCTCCGTTGGCTCCCTTCTTGGAGAGCGACATTGGCTCGGAGATGTCCAGCTTGCGCTTCATGTCAGGGTGATGTGACCGAGGCGAGGGGAGACGGGAGCGAGGTGTCGTTTGCGCCCGCGAACAAGGTCAAGTCGGCCGCCCATGGATGCCGGTGCGCCTTGTCAAGCAAGCTCCCTCGCCAACCCGGCATCGAGCGATGGTCGATGGTGGATAGCTACAGCCGTTGCTCCGCTCGTACGCTATGGATCATGGCCTATCAACTCGTTCGCTCAACGGTGTGATGTCGGAACGCTTGGTCCTGTGCTCTTGCGGGTGCAGTCCTCCGTTTGCTTCCCCTGGCAGAGTGCCTCCTCACGCGTCCTTCCAATTCGCTCTCACCGCTACCTCGCAATCAGCCTCAACACACATCAAGCTCAAAATCGCTTGCTTTCATGGGAAAATCGCAAGCATACGCTCGGCTATCAACGTCATGACTACAGCTCCTTCTCCACAATTGCTCCCGCCGGCATTGCAAACGAGTCCGACGAGTCCGTCGAGCTCGACGACGACGAGTCGTCCTCCGAGTTGAGGTGCGCCGTCCGCTGCACGGTTGCCTGTTTCTCATCGCCTGCGAGATCCGCACGCCCGTAGAGCATCGCGAGCATTCGAGCCATCTGCTCCCGCATCACTCGCGTCGGCTCGTCGTCGCAAAGCTCTGCGTCCGTCAGCCGCGCCACAACCTTGGGCAGCAGCCGCTCGATGTGCTGGTACAGCGTGCAAATCGCCGCGTCGCGGTACTTCTCCGGAACCTCCGAGAACGTCACCGCCACGCCCTCCACGCGCTCCGGCACCGTCGAGAGCTTGTCGAACAGCTCCGCCATCACGCGTTCGTTCGACACGATAAAGTCGTTGAACTGAAGCATTTTCTTCTCCTTGTTGCCAAACTCCTTCTTGTTCGACAGGTTCTGCAGCACCTTGCCGATCAGCACAAGCAGCTTCCGCTCCGTCGGCGTCGGCAGCTCCTTCACCAGCCCGTACGACTCGGGCGCCGTGATGCACGGCACCATGAAACGGAGGAAGAAGAACCCACCAACCGCAATCGAGTTCTGCTGCTGCGTGTGCTCCTCAAGCAGCCGCCGCGCGGCCTGCGACGTCGGGTCCAGCGCTCCCTGCAGGTTGTCGCACGCGTCCACCATCTGGTCGAGCTTGTCCGTCAGCTCCAGGATTGCGTCGTTGAACATGTCGAGCCCCTCCCGCATCGGGTTGATCGCCACTCCGATCGACGCCAGGTCGGACGTCAGCAGCGGCTCCAGGTTCTCGATCTCGTGGAAGACCTCGGACCCGTTGACGTACGCAGACTTGGTCTCCTTCAGATTGCCGTGCAGGTTCTCCGCCACAATCGCTGCAAGGTTCTCCGTCGACACCGGGAACCGCTCAGACATACACGCCTGCACATGAGCAAACAGCTCGCGGAACGCCACGGGCAGGTACCGCTCAGACTCCACAATCGTGTTGAACATCCGCTGGCACTTGTTAAGCAGCCCGAACTTGTTCGTCTCGTCCTGCGCCTCGCCCTTGGCCTTCTTCTGCTCCTCGAGCTCCAGATCGTGGATGATCTTGTTCAGCGGCCGCCCAATCGTCGCGTGCACGTAGTCCAGGCCCTGCATCTTCGAGTACGTCTTGAACATCTTGGTCGCAAACGAGTTGGTCCGGAACATCGTCGCCTGCGACTGCGCTCCAAACACCTCCCGCGTGATAAAGTCCTTCTGCAGGTCCACAGACAGCTTGTGCGCCTCGGTGAGAATGAGA